AATCTTCATACTTTATACAAAGTGAACTTAAAAACAGAAGAAAATCTTTATAAGTACTAAGGTTGGGCAAAAAGTTAAGTGTAACCCAAAAAAAAACATGATCTATAAAGAAAAAAGTAATAAACTGGACTTCAAATTTTAAAACTTTTACTCTGAAAGGCACCTTCAAGAGAACAAAAAGGTTAAGATGGAGCCTGGGAGAAATAACTGCAAAAACATATTCAACAAAGGAATTTACCCAGAATATACAAAGAACTCTTAAAACTCAACAGTAACGAAATATACAACCCATTTTTTTAAATAGGCAAAAAATTTTAACTGATGAAAAAGGATACACAGATACCAAGTAAGTACATAAATCAATGTTCAACATCATTAGCCATTAGGAAATGCAAATTAAAACTGCTATATACCTATTCAAATAGCTAAAACTTTCTAAACTGCCAATACCAAGCACTAGTAAGGTGCAAAACTACTTTAAGGTTCATACTCTGCTGACAGAAGTGTAGCAATCATATCTTGGAATCTTAATCATATCTTGGAAAACAAAGTAAATCCTTAAATATCAAATATACATTTACCATATGACCTAGCAATCCCACATGAAGGTACTTACAAACAGCAATAATTTATGTTCACAAAGAAACCTATACATAATGGTTTAAAGCAGCACCAAGAAGGAACAGAGGGTGTGTGGCAAAGCTCGTTGTGTGACCAGATTCTGGAACACACACACACACACACACACACACACATACACACACCCCAAAACATTCCCAAGGGCCTGTGTATGGAATGGTTTAAAGCAGCACCAAGAAGGGACAGAGGGTGAGTGGCAAAGCTCGCTGTGTGACCAGATTCTGGAACACACACACACACACCAAAAAATTCCCAAGGGCCTGTTTATGGAATTCTTGCAGGTTCCTGTCCTGCATAGACTAAAGAGACAGGACGCCACTGAAAACATGCCCTTCCTCACAGTAGCTGCCCCTGTGTCTCTCCCAGGGTGTACTTTTATTTTATTTTTAATTTTTCCTCTTTTACTCAGCCCAAATTCATTTGCAGAGCCAGTTTCTCCCTTACCCTTTATTTTTCAAGTAAATTTTGTCACCGTTTTTGCTTGTTTTGTGTAATTCTTTGCTTGAGAAACTGGAAACCAAGAGGCAAGTACTCCAAAACCCAGTAACAAAATTCAAAACTGGAAGCAAGAAGCAGCCCAAATGTCCTTACTTCAAGGGGTGAACAGAAAAATGATAGTATAATATATATACATTACTCAGTAATTGTGTATGTACTACTCAGCAATAAAAAAGGAATGAACTTTCTATGCACAGAACAATATGGATGAGGCATTACAATGAGTGAAAAAGCCAGTGTGAGAAGAAAATTAGTAGTCCACTTGCATGACATTTTGTGAAAGCAAAATTAACAGCACAGAGAACAAATCGGTGGTTATCAAGCCTTGGAAGCTGATGTGGGTATGACTACGTATGCGCAGCATGAGGAAAGCTTGGGTTTGACCTTGTGTCCTGACTGCTGCTGTGTCCTGACCCATACCCTGATAATGGATGCTTAAACAAAATAAGTATTATGCAGAATGCAGTATATTAAATTAAAAATTTTTTAAAAGTTATACGGTGAAAGTGATTTTTTAAACTTTTAGCCAGTCATGGTGGCGCATGCCTATAATCCCAGCACCCAGGAGGCTGACGCAGGAGGATGGCTGTGAGTTTGAGACCACCCTGGGCTACATAATGAGTTCCAGGTCAGTCTCAACTACACAGTGAGAACCTGTCTCAAAAAACCAAAAAAAAAAAAAAAATTGTTTTAACTTTTCAAAGATGGTCATACGGCGGGAGATTTAACTCAGTGGTGCCACACCTGCCTCACAAGCACAAGGTCCTGAGTTCAATCCTCAGTACCACCAAAGGAAAAAAAGTCATATTTTAATAGGCAGAAATATAAAAAAAAAAATGATAGGAGCACTGAGCATAAGGTCTTCCTCTTAGAAAACTTCTTCCTCTGGTCTCACAGCTTCCTCCTTTGAATTCCTTCGTTATTGTTAAATTCATACAAACGCTCATGATGACTACTCTTTTGACATCGTAAGACTTTCTTCCACTTTCCTCAATTACAGTCAATAAGGAAGTGACCACGTGTTTAATTTGTTACAAGTCTTCTGCAGTAAGAAAAAATACAGCAGTACCTACTTACCCACCTTTCTCTTTCCAGTGTTTCACTTACCCAAAGACAAATACAAATGTCCCAAAGTAGAAGAGTTAATGATGCTGGCAATACGAAAATGCCAAAGAAAAGCCATAAAGTGTTTCTTTTAAGTGAAAAGGTGAATGAATATTCCCAAGTAAGGGGGGAAATTGTATGCTGAAGCTAATATCTATCCATGAAATTGTAGATTGCACCAACTCCCCAAGATGGATGTGAACATTACGTACTTATAAAAGTTAAAATTTAAAAAAATTTAAAGACAGAATTTCAGGCCAGATTTGATGTCACACCTCAAATTGCAAAGTTATGGCCCCAATGTATGCTGAGAGCTCAGTTAAGCAAGAAAAGGCATCAATCACAGGTTCAGTGACTGAGGCAGTTTCAAGCATCCACTGGGAGTTTTGGGATATATCCCAAAAATGTGGCTTTCTTAATAAATGTTAAGTACAACAATACACCTAAATGTTCTCTACGGTTATTATCCATTATTATATAAATCACTATAAAACTATGAATAAAGCAACTTAAAATTCATGTATTATACTACATTCTGAGGTATATTTATATGTACTCTGAAATTATTTTAGATAAACAACGATCCCAAAAGTCATCATCACTGGTCATTTCCCAAAACCATATTTAACTACTGGAAAGTGATTTATCAAAAATTATTTCTCTACTCTACAGCTCCATTCTATTTTACTTTTTTTTTTTTTTTTTTTTTTTTTTTGAGACAGGGTCTCACTATGTAGTTGAGACTGACCTGGAACTCATTATGTAGCCCAGGGTGGTCTCAAACTCACAGCGATCCTCCTGCCTCAGACTCCCCAGTGCTGGGATTACAGGCGTGCACCACCATGCCTGGCTTCTTTTTTTTCTTTTTTTCTTTTTTTTTTTTTATTCTATTTTGCTAAAAGTCCTTCATCATTAAATATTTTAAGTTGTAACTGACCCCGAAGATTTCTTCACCAAAATATGAAAATCAAAGTTAGCCAACTTCAACGGGCTATGAATTGATTCCTGTATCAACAGAACTACCCCTGTAAATAAAGCCTTGTCTATTTATTAAGAACTCTAAGAATTACACTCATTGTCTTTCATTTAATATATGACTTATTTGAATGTAGCAACGCGGACAGATTTATCGCCTAACAATAAGATTCTGATTGGTTTCACAAAAGATCAAAATATGTATCAATTAGAAACTTACAGGAGCTGATTTGCAATTAAAGTCTCCAAATATAGTTCCTAGAATTTCAGAGTAAATGAGTTTAACTAGGACCCACGCACTCATGTGTAAGTGAAATAATTTCAGTTTTAGAAAACTCAGCTGTTTTCTATCTAGTATGACCTCATTTATACAGAAAGTTCTCAAAATTTATTTCAAAACACTTATTTACAAGGTTGAAAAGCAGGTAGGGACAATGCCACGCTATCAATTTAAGTACGTTAATGGTGACCTAAGAACACAGATTAGATATTAAATAAACCAAATTTTAAAGTACAAGAACCCAAACTAACCCATCCTACTGCAAAGTAAGTATGTGTGTTTGTGTGTGTGTGTGTGTGTGTGTGTGTGTGTGTGTGTCACAGAGACAGACATCACAGTACCATGGATAAATCAAACTAAAGCTACCTTAAAATGAGCCAGAATATAAAGGTGTCAATTTACGTAGCATCTTTCCATATCTGTTCTCTTCTGTAAAATGAAAATGTGGTATCTTCCAAATCAAAAGGCATTTGTAAGAGTTGTCAATTTTTAAAAATAGGTATTTTTCCTTGTTTACTAAGCAGAAGATAAATTATTTCTGTGTACCAAAGTATTATTAACCACAGGTCTAAGAAAGCAACTAAAGACAATTTATAAACCATAAAATGTTCAAAATTCTTATGTCTTCCTAACTTCCATCTATATACCATGTGTACTTTATTGTACAAATATTATAGGCTGTCAGACAGGGCTAGGCCCCTTAAGGGAGTCAGTGCAGAAGATGAGGAAAAATTACAACTGTGGCTAGAGATGCATCTGTAGAAGACCAGACCTCAAGATAAAGATGGAATGACCAGGCCTACAGGCCTCTCCAACAGATAAGCAATAAAATGAAGATTATACTCACCTGGTCCAATAAAGTCTATATAGTCACCGGTCACTCATGTGGGTGACCAGGCCCTCTTGATACATCCTTTCCAAAAGGGTCTTTGTTCTTTCCATGTACACTTGCTACATGACCTGTTTCCTCACTGGATCTCTATTTCCTAAGCAGCTATACTTGTAATGTTATTGGTTGATCACAGTTCTGATCCACATTGTACCCACCTCGTAATTTTGCTCTATAAAACTTCTTCTGAGAAGTGGGGTTTTTGGCCACCCATTTTCAGGTCCCCTCCTGTCTCTGAGGAGCTATCATTCTCAATACATTTTTCCTACCCTTAATTAACTTCCACTGTTCCTTAGAATTTACTCCTTGATTGTGGGGAACACAAATTTGGCACATCTGACATCTAGCAGGTTGGGAGTTACATACCCCAACCCCCATATCACTTATACACATGCTAATTTCTTAAAAAATGCCAATATGGGTGATAGTTCAAAGCCAGATTTTCTATTCTCTAGCTCAATCTCAGATGCTGGTTCTACTCCAATTTATTAGAATTCAAAAGAATCATAAACAACTAACAAATCACGGCAGGTATTTCTGATAACAGTTCGTCAGTTCTGCATTTTGTGAGCCAAAACACATAACAAAGAAACATCATCACTAAGTGGTACCTACGTTCCTTCCGATGCTCAACTAAACCTACAGCCTGCTTTGCGGAGCACTTTGCAAACCAGTTGTCCCCAAGTAAAACAGTCACTTCATTGGTATGCACAAGTTTTCCTGGCATGAAGGCAAAGGGGCCAAATGGTACCTATTGTTAAAAGGGAAAAAAAGAAAGAAAGAAAAAAGAGCAAAAAATTTCAAACATTAAAAAATATATTTTATGAAACACTTAACATTAAAAAGGCCTACATTATTATTGAGTTCCTTTATACAATGCAAAAAAAAGTGCCAATCCTGTAGAAATTTAATATATTAAAATCTATAGAAAATTAATATTAAAATACAAAATAAACCTGTACCATATTTATACATAGCTCTTACAGAAAGTAGTACTGTCTCTCAATGTTTATGCTTTTCATTATTTCTTAAATCTAAATGAAACCAAAATAGTTAATGAAATGGTCAATGGAAAATACTTTCTGGTAAAGACAACTAAAAATTATTTCTAATAAAATGCCCATTCTTTACAAAGCAAGAATAAACAGTTTTAATATGTCCACCTACCTACATTTACAAAATATTTGGGCTAGTATAGTAAAAACCAAGTCACTGTGAGAAAAAAATGCACCTGCAATGCAAGATTCTAATCCAGGGCTCACACACAGATCCCTGTGTCAGTAGTAAAGGTCATTAAAACAAATATTAGAGGCATCTTTTTATATAAAAATAAATATCCTGGAATTTAATTCTGTGAATTACAAAACATTATGGCTTATTCTCACTCTGGCTTACAAAAAATGACTCAGTGCCATATTCCTGTTGTGATTACATTTTTTGTGTAGTAAGTTTGCACACCCAATGTCAAATTCTGTGCTAACAATTATAAAATAATTATTTATATATTTTTAAAAAGATACAAACTATTACAAGTACTGCATTGTTATAAAGTATAAAAAAATAAAGTTTCCTGACATGACAGTCACCTTTGAAAGAAACATCAGTTTGGCAATTTTTAAAATGATAATGTACACAGCAAAAAAAAAAAAGTTAATATAATGTATTACCTAAAAACAAAACAAAACAAAACACACACCAAACGTACCATGATATTATAAGAGAGCTTATCAGGCAAAGTACTGAGTCTTTCTTGAAGAGCATTATAGTCATCATCTACCTTCTTCCTGTTGACAAAAACACCATATAATATATGAATATACAAATTACCAGTTCTTCCAGATTTGTATATCTAATCGGAAACCATTTGCAGATGAATTGTTTTTCCTAATTTTAAAATTCTGTCCTTACAGAGTTTAGTAATAGAACTATCCTACCATATAGTATTAAAGAATTGAGATTTTCCAGGTACTCTGGCTTTTAGAAATAGAACACTGCTACTTTTGATAATTAGTGTTTCCTAAATTAGAGGTCAGCTGGACTAAATATAATATAAAAATTAAGGGAAACTGAAGGAGGGTCTGATTTTTGAAGGAAAATAGGACTCAAAGTTGAAAAAAGAGTTTAATAAAGGTTTTGAATAAGAACCATGAAGTAGAAATCATGAACACAAAATTTGATCAGATGCATTTAGTCCTCATCAGAAAACTTTAGGCTGAGAAATGTGTTGTCATACTAATTCATACTAATGTGATTAAGGTGACAGAAAATCAACCAAGGGGTAGGAGAAATTAGGTACAGTACAGGTAATGCAAAAGACATTAATGCTTTATCAAATCAGAGCTACCAAATAAATTAATTTTCACAACCAAAAGATCTAACTGTGAAGCAGGGATGGTCACGTTTCTGTGCTGTCAGCCCCATTCAGATCTTGGGCTTGCTGGAAATGAACAAGCCCTTTTCTTTGAGTGATACCAAGCATCAGTCTAAACCGAGATGCCCACTTTTAAAACTCTGGAAATTAGGTCTCCTAAGGGTTTCTGCTAGATATAGATCTGCAGGCAAAACAAAAACACTGAATTTTTTTATAAGCAGAGCATTGTTAATTGTAAAAAAATAATTAATGAAAACAAAAACTCACCAACTCAGCAAGTAATTTAAATGAATAGGTAGATATTGTCAAATTGAAATTAGGATAAACTGCAACATAGGTAATCACTCTGTAAATAAAATGACTACCCTAGAAATATCATGAAATTGGCTTCCATTTACACCTTAGTTCCTCAACAGCAATAATTGCATAATTAATAAAAATAATCTTAGTCTTAAATTCTCAAGGAATTTCATATATATATTATGTATCATAAAAATATTCCTGTAGTAAATGTCACAACATTTTCTCTCACAGAAAAAGTGGAAGATGGAAAAATCACACACTGGAGAGAAATCAGATTTCCTATATGAAGGTGACGTAAATACAGAAATGTGTTTAGATGATGTTTTATGACCTGCATTTTCTTAAGCACATTTTTTTTTCATTTTCTAGTGTTCTAGTGCTTTTTACATACTTTTTTCTATAAATTAACATAACATTTTATTCTCTTTGTTTAAGACAAAAATATACCCTTCAGGATATATTTTCATAGAAATAAAATGGAAAAAAAAAAAAAACTTGCGTAGGGCTATGTACCAGAAAGAATAAGGATTTGAAGTCAGAGCAAACAATCAATCCCAGCTCTACCGCTTGACTTTATATAAGCTAACCTTAGTTGTACTATCTTCATTGGTAAAAATGAAATAATGTTTATCTCAAAGGTTTAAAAGAATTAAATATAAAAGGTTTAACACCTTGCTTAGCATTAAGTACCAACTTTTTCCACGAAGTGCAAACAAAATTCTAACTCTAAAAGTTTTGGGAGTGACTACTTTTGCCCACAAAGGTAAGATTCCATTAAGAGAAATTCATTCAACTGAATAGTATGACTTGCTAAAAGTGCATCTGAACATAACCTTTCAGGGTCTCTAGTGTAAGCAATAATGTGATAGAGCAGGATTAGTGTGAGCAACAAATGTGACAATATTTGTAAAGGACAGATTTGTATATTGCCTTCGCATAGTAAACACTCATTATTAAATCTATGGATGCTAACAATTTATTTCTATGTTTCAGATAAGTGACTCTGCAAATTCTCAAATTCTCAGCTATCTAGCTGTTTCTATGATTAAGTAGTATTAACGTTAATGTTCAGTATTTCCTACATGGGTTGTTACACCTGAAAAAAAAAAACTACCTAAAAAGTCTTCTTTGTACATTAAGTGAATGGTAAATTGAACCAGAGATACTAACAGAAATCAATGTCAGTATTTCATGTTAAGTATACTCTGTTTTCAATCATTATTAATTTTCCCCAGAACAAAAATCTAGACAATGGAGAATAGTTTAAGACTGGAGCTGCTACTTCTAAATTTTGAATTTTTTCTAAAACTGTAAGGGGAAGATAATTTAAAATGCACTCTGTGCAGAAATCCCGTTTGAAGAGAGGCCAGCAGGAGGCAAGCAGTATCTCTGGAAGAAATTACAGCTTGAGGAACTCCCTCTCTCTGTGAAGGCTGCACTTGTCAAATTGTCCAGGACCAAGCACTAAATCAAAGGGTTAGCTCCAAATAGTCCTCCTAATGTTTAGGGATTAAATAATCATTAAAAATCACAAAGCCTCTGCTACAGAAAATACAAAAAACTTTTTTTTGAGAAATAGCATTAAGTGTTAAAAAGGCAAGTGAAGAACTTTATTTGCAACAAAATTTGAACATTTTTTCCATTTTATTACTTGGAAACAATCTTTGAACATTGTAATCATTAAAATATAGTAGTACAAAGAGGTGTTTTTTTGTGTATGTTTTCTCAAAATTTAAGCCGGAAGCAATTACTTGGAAATCAAAATTCAAAAGTAGTTAGAATAAATCTCTCAAGCCTACTTACTTGTATATTTAGACCTGTCTATTTGGCTTCATATTTGATTCTTAGAGATTATGAATTCTTTAATTCTTAATTTAAAAATTCTACCCAATAAACAAGATCTAATTTGTACCAGATAACCTCATGCAACAGTCTTACAGAAAATATCAATTAAAGCATAAGAAAAAGGCATATAACAAACTTTTTAAATCTTCTTTTGAGTCTTGCTAAGCAAGAGACTCTATATTTTTAATTGCTCTATAAAAAATCTTTGTAAAGAAAAACTGTTTCCCTATTTCAGGCAAGTAATAAAAACTGCAATCTCCATCTTTAAATAATAAAAGAGATAAAACTTGCATCTCTGAAACAATCTAAAATTTTACTCTGAAGTAGGAAGCTGGACAAAGCAGAAAATACTAACATTAAATTTCTTCCCCCTTTAGAAAAAAAGTCTCCCATCGTTCTCCTTTCCCTTACCTATTATGCTAAACAATAAGGCAGAAAAATACTGTATCATAAGATATTTAAAAAGGAAAATAGAAAAAGGGCTTTATATTGATGTTAATATCTGGGTTACTCGAGCAAAAATTAACTTTTTATTTTTTAATTTGAGAAATAGCAAAACCCAAAGATTCTGAAATAAATGAGTCAATACATGATCTTCTTTAGAAGTTATTTTTAGTCTGTCATAATCTAAGCAACCAGAGAAGCCTTGTTTCAATTTAATTTACCCACTATTTATTAAGCGCCTCCTCTGCACTAAGTCTTATACCTGCCTTAGGCTGCAGGGATCGTCATTTAGATATAACACACTGGGTTTTTGTTTGTTTGTTTGTTTTTTTAATTTGCAATGCATCTTTGTTAAAGATCCACAGGCCTGGGGGTTTCCTGAGTTTTTAACTCTAAAGTTAAGGAAATAAGAGATCAAGCATAGACTATACATGTGGACATGAACTCTCATTACTTTTTTTCAAGTATCTTCTAAGTAGTCTAATAAAATTGTTAAAAGTTACATTAAAAAATAAAAGCATTCTTGAAAACAGGACCTACATTGTTATGCTTTCTGTAATCTGGTGGGAAAGGAAGGATCCTCATTAAAAATTTAAACATATTTGTATAAAATCAATAGTATTTTTCTTCCTACATGGGCATGGTAAAGTACTTAGCTTCATTTAATAAAATAACTAAGATCAACCACAGAAGTAAGCCAATATGGAAGTACATTCCTTTTTTATACCTCTATTGTATCTAGGAAATTATATCATCAGAATTTGCTGATGAAAGGATCTATGTTCATTTTATTTTGACTCATCAGAAAATGTTATTAGAAATAACCTAAAAATGAAAAGAAAAATCAACCTAAGTATAAAAACTCATAATTTTTCAAAAGTCAATTAAAATTATTCAAAGAGGGCCAGGGATTAAGCTCAGTGGCTCCACCGCCTGCCTCGCAAGCACAAGGTCCACAGTTCAATCCCCAATACCAAAAAAATAAAAAAATTATTATTCAAAGAGATAAGGGCAGCTAACATTCTACCTGACGTTTTCATATATTATGAATATTTGTGTCAGTTTTTACTTAAATCTCACCATAATTCATAGTTTGTCATTTCAACTTCAATTTTCTCCATTTTACTTCTATACTATATTTTAGAAAAAGTTGTGCTCACTTAAGCAGCACATATACTATATTTTAGAAAAGTAAATGTTTTGCGTGTGCATTTAGAGTGGTGACTTATGCTACAAATCTAAGAAACTGAGAAAAATAGACCTATATTTTTCCATTCAATTTCAATAGAATCTTGCTTGTAGATTTCTCCAAATTAAATATTCTGTCAAGATTTTACTGTATGACAGTGAAAAAACAGAAATACTGGTTCTGACCCACCAAATATCTAAAATGCCCCAAATCTTAAAAATAATTCTTTTTAGTGGGGAAACCCACATCAATTTGGTGGTGAGTTCAATACAATTTAGTAAAAAGTAAATTAAGCATGCCTCAATTTGTTTACAGTCTCATTTTCCTAAGTCATACACTGATACTCACCATCTATCTCTTCTATATTAGAATTTAGACTTTTGCTGTCTCAAAACAAGAACAAGCACTCAGTACTATCAGTGATCCACCTCAGTCATACCCATGCTTCAAAGTTTTACTGTATGTGTTACTCTTATTTTACTGGATGTATTTCTTATATTTTATTTTAGAAAGAGCAAAATGAAAAACCTTGAAGTACAGGTAGCATATTTATCAAATGTAGTACAGTTAAAGAAAAAAATTAAAAATCCTAAGTTGTGCAAAAGGCAACAAATCCTTAACCTTAATTAGAT